CTGGTTGACAAGAATATATAACACGACACATAAGAAACCCCGAAATACCTAGAGAGAATGCGCTGGACAGAGAAACAAAGCAGAAGAGAAACTGAAGACGTTTCCACTTATTCAGGCTCCTCTTCAGACAATCTTCTGAGGTCTTTTATTTCCCCTAATGAAATGAGTCTGTCATAGGTGCTGGGTATGACACTGTCCCTGCACGTAATGACAGCATTTCTCTTACACATGTGCATGTCTCGCCCACGGGAGAAATGCCAACTATGAACATTGTATGGCTTATTAACTTACCTCTGTTTAATTTCATTTATTTTTTGTATTTTGAGACAGTGACTTTCTGATCTGGGCAGTTCCAACTGTGCTCACTCCCCACCCTGCCATCAAATTATCCCAGCGATAACTCCTCTGTTTTATTCTATGCCTCTCATTTAGGAAAGTCTGTGATTTATTTCTAGTTCCACCACTTAGCATTTGCCAGAATTGAAACAGGCCTCTTTGAGACTCATCTTTATAACGAGCATGATAATATCTATTTTAGAGGCTGCTGGAATGAACAAATGAGATCCATTTTCTGTAAGCACTTTGTAAACTGTAAAGCACCAAACATATGCGTCCTGACAGTCAGATGTTGTTGTTAAAATACCGGGGACACAAGACGTTCTGAGAAAGGCAGGCTGCGGACTCACAAGGAAGCTCATGACTCTTGAGTCCACTTCAAGAGAAAACAGAGGGGCCGGCCCCGTGGCTGAGTGGTTAAGTTCGCGCGCTCCACTCCGGCTGCCCAGGGTTTCACCAGTTCGGATTCCGGGTGTGGACACGGCACTGCTCATCAGGCCACGTTGAGGCAGCATCCCACATGCTACAACTAGAAGGACCCACAACTAAAATATACAACTGTGTACTGGGGGGATTTGGGGAGAAAAAGAAACAGAAAAAAAGAAAAAAAGATTGGCAACAGTTGTTAGCTCAGGTGCCAATCTTTAAAAAAAAGAGAGAGACTGAAAGAAAAGAGAAATGGATTACTAAAAATAAGTCGCAGGCAGAGTCCTCAGGGAGAGTAGTGCGGTAGGTTTGGTGGCATCTTCCTTCATGTCCCTGGAACCCATGCAAGCTGATATTTGGGCTCCTATTACATTGCATATATCTGACTATTTGCCTTCTCTTGCCCTCCCCAGTACCCTATAAAATGAGCTTTCTAGGAAAAGGCCTCTATCAGGCAGGCATCTTTGTATCTCCAGCACTTAGCCAATGTCTGCTGGGTACTGCCAGCTTGCTAGGTGAATGTATTACTTAGTGTGATAGACAGAATAATGCCCACCTCCTCTACCAAAGACGTCTACATCCTAATCCCCAAAACCTGAGAATATGTTACCTTACATGGCAGAAGAGATTTTGCAGACGTAATCAGATTAAGGATCTTGAGATGGGGAGATTATCTGGTTGGGCCCAATATAATCATACAGTCCTTATAAGAGGGAGAGAGGAGGGCCAAACTCAGAAAAAGGAGATATGACAGTGGAACCAGAGGTTGGAGCAACGCACTTTGAAGATGGAGGAAAGAGCCACAAGCCAAGAAAGGCTAGAATCCGGAAAAGGCAAGGAAACCATTCTGCCATGAAGCCTCCAGAGAGGACCCAGCCTTGCCAACACAATGATTTTAGACTTTTGACCTCCAGAATTATAAGAAAATAAATGTGTGTTGCTTTAAGCCACTAAGTTTGTTAAAGAAGCACTAGGAAACTAATACATTTAGGCAAGAAAGTAAATGAATAACTGTCATCTAAGTGAATAAATGAGCAAATAAATGAATGGATGGGTGAATGGAGAGAGCTCTAGACAGAAAGCAGAAAGGCTTAGGTTCTGGTCCCAACTCAGATAATAAGCAGTTGGGTAACCTGGGCCCCATCATTTAACCTCTCTAGAATTCCTCAGCATCAAGAGCTGAGGCCATGCAGGCAGATCAACTAGGGTTCAGATCCCTTCTAAGCTACCTCCAGGCTGTGCTCCTTTGGGCAAGTGCTCACCTCTCTGAGCCTATGTCCATATCTGTAGGACGGGGATGGTGACAGTACCTCCTGCGCAAAGTTGTCGTGGGGACTGAATGAGCTACAATCTCATCACGTTCTGTGAGACTCTGAACTAGGCAAATTTGAAATTGTGGTCACATAAAAATGTTATTATGTCACTTCATGCACAAAATTTGAAAACATGCAAATTTCCCAAATCAAAAAAGAGTCAGGAACTGCACAATGGCAAAGGTGGTAAACCGTAAACTCCCCACTGCCAGCTGGTAGGAATGCTTCGGCTGCTGAACAGAAACACTCACCATCCTTTGAGAGAATCCATGTTGAATTATGCAAGTTATAAAGTACACAAGTAACAAACGATGAGAGGTCTTCAAGAACACACCCGTCGAACAAAATATGACCACCCTTTAATGCATGCAAAGCAATTAGCTTGGGCCTGGGACACAGAAAGCTATTACTCTGCTGTTATTACACTAGCTCAGCGATAAAGGCCTCAGAACAAACGCTTCCACGATGGAAAATGAAACGAACTCCAGGTTCCCATGGGCCTAAGCTTTACATGGGCCTCTGGCTCTGTCAGAGAAATCTTGCACTTGGAAAATCTGAGTCAGGTGTGCTAATGACACCCCATATTATGAAGCAATAAATTTCCCAGCTCTTACTGGAAGCACAGAATTTGCCTTCAGGGAGGTGTTACCTATGTGCTCCACTTGTATTACCATGTACATCTTGCACAATAAATTTTGCTATGATTAGCCATATGTAGAATACTACAATTTGTGACGACGGGGTCCTCCCTGAGTCTCAGTGCCCCCAGCAACACTTCTCTTTTTTTCCTTCTCTCCATTCTCATTTCTTGAATTCCCAGAGAACAAAGTTATGCCTATTACATACTAGAAGCTCAATAAATATCTGTTGAATGTATACATGATCTTTATGAGTCATGTAACCCATGTCTGTCTCCCATTTTCCACATAATGAGCCCAAGGCCAATTAGAGCAATACTGAAAAATCCCCTCTGTGTAGCATTAATTCAAATTAATATCCATCTCCTCCCTAGAGAGGCAGAGAGAGGGAGTAGATTGAAAACACATTTTTTAAAGTATATCTGTTTTTCTAAGTAGCTTCCAGATCCAAAAATGAGTTCTGATGATGATATTAAGTGTTTATACCGCAGATTTGGCTAATAACTGATGGAAAGATTAGAAAAAAATGATCAAAAGAAAATTAGAACCTGGATGAAATAGAGCCACAGTGAGGAGATTGGAAAAAGCACAAGAGTGAGGCTGAATTATTTAGTTATAATTGAAGTCTGGTGTTACATGTGAGGGGGAACAAATGACAAGTTTCAGATTCATATGATCCTTCTAGGCTGCACAGAACCGTTTACTACAGAATCTAGTCCCATTTTTTACTTACACCTCCATTTCTTACCAAAGCAGATATACTATCTAGGAGAGACTCAGGGCTGGCAGGACTTAAATCCTTATCCCAACTTTAGACAACCACACGTCAGCAAAAGCTAAGCACGCATTCCCATGTAAAGACCGCCCCCTCAAGAAGAATCTAAACTCTTTCCCTAGAAAGGAATTTTAGTGATTTTTCTACTGTGTTTATGGAGCTAACTTTAACCTCCTTTGAGGTAGCTTTAGCAACTCCTTGCAGTATTTTCACTGGAAACAGAGAACAGTTGTCCCCATTGTCATAAGTAGCCCTGTATGTGTTTCAAGAGTCAACTATTTCGGACATAGACTTCTTAAGACTAACTCTGCCTAGATCTTAACTTAATGTGATACTATGACTTTTATTATCAGATTCCTCCCAATCTTCTTCATAACAAGTTGGGTTATACAGCCCTGAACCCATGAATTCAGGGAAGCCAGTGAGAAATTATCTTTACCAACTGGTTCCTATGCTTGCCCCCTAAACTCACTTACTCTTTAGCCAGCAAAACCTAGGGCTGCTCAGTGATTACCTCAAATTTCTGCCTATTTCCTTGCCTTCTTTAGCTTTTTTTAGCTTTCCGTGCATAGTTGTGCAATGGATATTGGGTCTCCATTTGTGATTTTAAGTGATTTTCAATAAAAGTCCTCAATATATTTATATAGAGTGCCTGTGCTCTTTCTGCTGTATTTCTCTTTCCCACCCTGCCTGAGCCTTCTCGTCAGTGTGGCCAACGTGGGTCACACTCACATTAGATGTTCTGCTTCCCAGCCTGGCTACCTTGCTTGTGTTAAAGAACCATGAGGTAACGGCTATTAGAAGATAAGAAGGGCTTGTTACTTCGTTGACCACTTATTTCCTTTGGACCTCTTGAGCCTCCACATTGCCCAAGATGCAAGGCCAGCCCCATGAGCACAGCACACAAGCACGACGTGATCCAGCTCTTCCATGCACCCTTAGTCTCACCGTCAAACTTTGATCTCACCAGGCCATTATGTAGTTCTCTTGAGCTTCTTATTCTTCATGAGCCTGCGTGGAAATTCACACCACTGCAGCTCTACCTAGGCTTCCCTTTGCCTGGAATGTCCTTCCTCTTGTTCTCTATTCCTCAGGCCCACCTTACATGTCAAAGCTCTGGGAAGTATTCCTTAACTCCTAAGACAGCATGAGTCACTCCCTCCTCTGTATTCTCAAAGAATGTTGTGGTTACCTCTCTTATGGCCCTGACCACAGAGTACTGCAATACTCTTACAGGTCTCTCTGTTTCACTATAAACTCATTTTTTGTACCTTCCTACAACCAAATTGATGATCTCTTTAACTGGAGAGGTTCATTTCAGAAATTCAATTCCAGAAATGAATGAGTTAAATGTGTACATGATTCCTTAGACAGAGGTGACTGTGTGGCTCCCCGCACTGGCATCTAGACCATACTTGTTTATCTACCTCTGGGTGAGGGAAGACAGAGCTGGAGAAATACGAGAAAAACAAGCCAACGAGTACCCAGCCAAGAGAAAAAAACATGGTGTACCTGATAGACCATTATATTAACAGTTTCTTCTTTTTTCTGTTCTGCAGGTCCTTGACTCTGCAATAGATTTCGTACTGTTTCTTCCATCCTGAGAAACAAAAAAAATCGAAGAATTTCTTTAAAGAAGGTTTTCCTATTAACACGGGTCTGTTCCAGTTAGTAGAAACCATTCTTTAGTGTATATTTCCTAAGCTTAAACCTGGAAATCTCTTTTCTCTTCTCTCTCCTTCATCTCCTATACTAAAAATCTGTCACGAAGTCATTTAAAATCATTCCTCAGATGTCTCTGGGTTCTTTCTCTTTCTCTTTACCATTCAGGTCCCCAGCCTTGGCCTCCTGCATCTTTACTCATGCAAACATCTTCCAATATCCTCTTCACTTTCAATCATTCTCTTTTAATTTGACACAATGTCACCAGATTAATCTTCCTGAAATACCACTTTGATTTTTTAAAATCAATTTTCAAATTTGACAAATATTACATGAATGCATTTTTGCCATTAATATACTTTATGTCTTTCCATGGTGGTCTTTCTATGTCAGCACACAATCTACTTTATTCTTTTCAACTACTTCCTAGTATTTCATGATGTGAATGCACCATAAATTATTTAACCATTCCCCTACTGTGGGAATTCAAAATTTTTGCCATTTCAAACAATAAACATCTTTCCACCCATATATAAGAACCCATTTATGAGTATTTCTATGATTATATTATAAAATATACTCTATGTTATAATCCTATTTTGTTTTGAAGATCCCTCTTGAATCCCCCCCACATTGCCCAAAAGTAGAATAAAACACACACAACAATTTCCAGACACTGTCTCATGTTGTTACTACTTCTTAGAATTCCAACATGCTTTCATCTTCTCATAGCCCATCCATCTTTCAAAACTCACCTCAAGTTTCACTTCCTAAGAAACTTCTTGATTGGTTCCCCACTTCTTTGAATTCTTAGATCTCTATACTTTAAATCATTCATTCCATCACTTAAAAACTCTCCACTTTTGGGGCCGGCCCTATGGCCAAGTGGTTAAGTTCACACACTCTGCTTTGGTGGCCTGGGATTCACTGGTTCAGATCCTGGGCACAGACCTACATACCACTCATCAGGCCATGCTGTGGTGGTATCCCACACAGAGGAACTAGAATGACCTACAACTAGGATATACAACTATGTACTGGGGTTTTGGGGAGGACAGAAAAAAGACGAAGATTGGCAACAGATGTTAGCTCAGGGCCAATCTTTCTCATCAAAAAAAAAAGAAGAAGAAAAAGAAGAAAAACTCCCCACTTACTTTAGGGCCCAGCCGTGTGGTATAGAGGTTAAGTTCAGCACACTCTGCTTTAGTAGCCTGGGTTCGCAAGGCCTGGACCTGCACTACTCATCAGCCATGCTACGGCAGCGACCCACATATAAAGTGGAGGAAGACTGGCACAGATGTTAGCTCAGGGCTAATCTTCTTCAAGAAAAAACAAAAAAACTCCCCACTTTAATGCTCAAATTTTTGTCTTCTGAATTATAATATTTGCTATAGAACCATGTCATATATTTCTTATGTGTCTCCCTCAACTAGGGATAAAATAGGTATCAGCAGACATTTTATGAATCCTTTGTTAATTCATTTTAAAAAGTACTCAGTACTTACTCTGTCCCAGGCATCTGCCATGTATATTCAAACTGAGTTTGAATGACCTGTCCATGGGGTCCATCCATCAGGATTCACAGACCAGAACTCTGAGAGTAGGATGGCTAATTAAATGCATGAGATACAGTGCTCTCATGATTAGAATCTGAGTTGGTTGTCTCTTCCAGTCCCATCCACAAGCATGTATTTTAGAAGCTCAGTATGACACTAGTTTAAGAGAGTTGTGTGGGAAAGCAAGCTGATCCAGCTTCTCTCTCTTACTGAGGGTTTCTAGCATGGCAAATTAAGGCCTCTAGGGGGCCTACCAATTCCCTGAAGTGGCAAGACCATTTAAGTAATCAAAGTAGTGTGGTTCAAAATGCCAACCTTTCTCATATGACATGTAACTACTTAGCACAGAGTGAAGAAATTGCAGACCAACCGAGCCAGTCCAAACCTGGATTATAACTGGGGAATTCTGTCTTCACAGGGGCTGCCACCAGGACCCACGTAGGATTTCAAGAAGACGGTGGACACTGATTACGAGTGCTCAGAGAATGATTTGTGACCACACATTTATACAAGACACCTCTTTGTGCATCCAGGCAGAAAGGCAAAATCTGGTCCCTATGTTTTCACAAATCTTATATTATTATTGATAATAAAATTAAACACCACTTTTAACTTGTCAAAGAACTCTCTCATCTATTAATCATTATAATATACTTTTAAAATATCTTTTTCTCTATGTGGTAGATAGGATAGCCGAGGCACAGAAGGTTAGAGCTTACTCATGGGATCATTGTTAGTTGGATAGGGAGTTAGGATTAAACCACTTTTACTCTCTGTAAAGACAGCAGCATCTTTTTGCCAGGCCTTAATGACATTCAGGAAAGTGATTTTAAATGAAGAGTCACAACTCCTATCTCAGAGTTATCTTGGTGAGCACCTACTGAATGCTGAACCCAAGAAGGCAACACCATCATTGCTGACCTGGGGAGAACTTAAGATCTGGTAGAAGAGACAAACTAGGTTTATGTGCAAAAAATATGTGTGAAGAAGTCACGAATTCTGAAATAAGTGATCAGAGCCAAGTTCTGATATTCTATTTCATTTTTTATAAGCAGAGACAATCTCTTGAATGGTAGTGGATTTTCCACAATGTTTGCCAAATTGATCACAAACAAGAAAAGTAATGATACTGGTGATGGCTTGCCCAAGACCACTCAGCTTGTGTATGACAGATCAGGGACTAGCCTCTGATTTTTTAAATATTAGTCTACTTTCTTCCAACCTTAGAACAGAGGCTGGAGGTCTTTCTTATTTCAATCCTTATTTCATTCATTTATAAACATTTGGCTTAAATATGGCCCAATAATTAGAACTCAGTTAAAATAAAATCTTGTCTTTTCTTTTTTAACAACTTAAAATACAACTCTGTCTCAGTGCCTATCTTGCTGAATTATCTCTCTGTATAATTAAAAGTTCTATGCCCAAGTTGGTGATCAAAAAGAAAACTATCTGTTCAGCTTTCCCTCACTCTTCTCTTTTTTTTTTTTTTTGAGGAAGATTAGCCCTGAGCTAACTACTGCCAATCCTCCTGTTTTTGCTGAGGAAGGCTGGCCCTGAGCTAACATCCGTGCCCATCTTCCTCCACTTTATATGTGGGACACCTACCACAGCATGGTGTGCCAAGTGGTGCCATGTCCGCACCCGGGATTGGAACCAGCGAACCCTGGGCCACCGAAGCAGAATGTGCACTCTTAGTTGCTATGCCACCAGACCGGCCCCTCCCCCATTCTTCTTGACTTTATAGTTAAAAAAAAAAAAAGGAAAAAGAGTGTCGATAGGAAGCTGTTAAACAGAATCTCAAGCAGCCCAGACCCACAGTAATACTGTGAACACTTTCCTGGCACTACTTCATGATTAATTAAAACCAATTACATTTCTAAGCTACAGCTTGGAACAGAGTTGCAGGGACCCATATCAACTCTGGGTAAAAAATTAAGTTGTCTCATCTTTTCATAACCTTCATGAATCTGGTCACAGAGAAAATATTTTGAACCTGCTGAGAATATACCATTACTTATTCCCCGATGACATCTTCGTTTTTTTTAATTCTCATTTAGCAAACTTCTCTATTTATTTTCCTGAAAATCAAAGACTGTGAAGCATCATCCATTGTTGTCTGATGCCCAATGACATTCTACTTCATTTTATTATTTTGATAGCTGATGTATGAGCAACTGCATTACTAGTCTGCACAGAGAACAATTCCACCATCTGTTTCCCAAAAGCGACTAAAAGTAAGCCAATTTCTTTCTTCAGGTCAGACATGGGCAGAGGGTTTTTTTTTTAAAGTTACTGATTCATGCAATTTACTGTTAAACAGTGACCTTAATCAATGTTTTCTAGTTCTCTTTTTTCCTTTTGTTCAACCTGAGACTAAGCCCTTTCTTCCCCTAAATACTGGTCAGGTAGCTGTCATAACTAAAAATATATATAGGTCTAAATTATACTTATGAGATGTAATAAGTCCTACTGTATATTTAGAAAGGTAAGTCCTACACAAGTCAGAAAAAATAAACCAAATTTATATGCAAATAGTATATTTCAGGTAACATAGATATAAATGTAGGAATTTCATTTAATTAAAAATAGATTCCGAGATCTCGTCAAGATGGCGGTGTAGGCAGACTCTGAACTCACCATCTCCCACAAACACAACCAGGTTACAACTATTTGTGGAAAAATTACCCCGGATTGAAAACTGAAAACTGGATAAAAAGAACCCCCACAACAAGGGACAGTCCTGACTAAGGCAGAAGAGGCAGTAATTCCTGCCGGAGAGGAAAAAAGCCACCTTTGGGAGCAGCGGAGCTTCTCAGCTGGCCAGGTGGGAGGCACCCTAAGGTACGCAGCCCTCCCTGGAGGAGTGAGGTCTGGAGCAGGGGCCGATACTGCTATAAGCATCCTTCAGACTCAGCGCAACTGAGACGGGGGTCTTACTGTCTGTCTTTGCTGGCTATTAACTGCAGCGAGGATACCCCCAGAAAAGCTATTGGTCAAAAGCCGAAAAGATCTGGGTCTTAAAGGGTCCACGCACAAACTCACTCATTGCAGCAACCTAAAATCACCAGAGAGAAGTCTGACAGTCCTTTGGTGAAACGAGACTCAGCTGGTGGGCTCTGGGGGCATCTTGGTGAGAGGAGGATCCTCTCCGGAGACTGAGACATTGGTGGGGGCCATTGTTCTGAACTGATACAGATGTGCTGACACAGACCCCGGTGAGCACCACTGAGGTTCATCCGTTGGCCTGTTAGCCCAGGGTTCTGCCAAGCCCACTAGAGCACAGATTTAATCCAGTTCAGCCAGGGCAGGCAACCCACCCTAGGGACTGACCCCATCTAACAGCAAGCCCTCAGGCTACTTTTCAGCCTGCATTTACTGGGTG